AGACATCCACAGATGTCTTGGAAGATTTACACTCATGATGTCTGGAGAGCTATTTCCCTATAGGTCTGTCCGGATTCCATGATCTAGGATTCAAAAGCCTTTGTTCTGCTCTTACCTAGGAAAGATCTTTGAATCTGGGATCAATCTTTTATCCACCAGCAAGGCTGGTTGCATAATGTGAAGACAAAAATCAAGACTTGGTATAGGGCTGTACTGTTAAAAAAAAAAGGGGGGGTGGGGTGGGGCGGGGACATCTTCAAGAAAACAGGGAAGAGCAATTAATTTGATGTTTCCTGTACGAGTGGATAGCCGTGGGATAATGCTTACTCTGCTCTTGCAGCTATGTTTATAAGGTGCCGACCCTGAACTGGAAGGCTGATATGGCCTCTAGCTTCAGGGCTGGCAGAATTGTTTGATGTCAGCCTCGAGTTCGCGAACAGCTGAAAGCTCAAGAGGCCTTCCTTTGTGTGCTTCCTACAGTGAGTGAACGGGAGAAGGCCATTGCTGGGTCTCTGCTGCCCTCGTGGGGCTGGCCGCGCTAGTGTTGCTGTGGCCACTTCACTGAACTAGCTCCCTTGAACCCGTCTTTCTCCTAGACCTGTTCACCCTCACAGAGAGATTATGCTTTTTTTTTTTTTTTTTTTAAATCATACTTTCTTTCACTGGCCTCTCCCTCAAAATCCAGCTTCCAGGAGCAGCTGCTCTGTCTCAGAAAGAACATGCTCTCTGGATCACGTCACCTGACTCTTTGCCTGTCTTGTCTCTTTGCCTACATGAGTGCTATGGGGCGGCTTGGTGTGGAGGCCAGATGCAAGGAATTTAAAGTCAGAGGACGTGATTTAAATTTTTGTTCTGCCTTTTTTTTTTTTTTTTTTTTTTTTTTTTTTTTTGCCAGATGTCGTTGAGTAAATTATTTCATCTCCTTGGACTTCAATTTTCTTAACTTGATTTTGCAAATTGTTATTATTAAGACAGAGTCTGACTCTGCCACCCACGCTGGAGTACAGTGGTGTAATCTTGGCTCACTGCAGCCTCAACCTCCTGGGCTCAGGCAATCCTTCCACCTCTCCCTCCCAAGTAACTGGAACCATAGGCATGCACCACCATGCCTGGCTAATTATTTTATTTTCTGTAGAGATGGGGTCTCCCTGTGTTGCCCAGACAGGTCCCAAATTTGGGGCTCAAGCAATCTTCCTGCCTTGGCCTCCCTAAGTACTGGAATTACAGGCAAGAGCCATCACACTCAGACCCCAAAATACTATTTTATGTATTTTTGAAAGATCTCTGGTGGTTGCTTCTCTCCCACTCCTGCTTCCTTTGGTATTCATCACATCCTCACAGAACACTATGAGGTTACAACTGTTACTCATTTTAGATACAAAAATGGAGGCACAGAGAGGTTAAATTGCTGAAAGTGTAATAAGCCTCTGTAAGTTCTAGCCAATTTGGTGTAGACAGGGATCCATTAAGGCAACACTCCTCAGTGACTCCCCGTGGGACGTAGAAGGGACTGTCTGACATTGGAGACTGGGAATAGGAACTGGGCATACATACTTTTTCTCTTCCTCTTCCTTTTTTGCTCTTTTGGGTGCAACTTTGAAAGAGCACTTGATCTCTTCTGCAACTCCTTATGGGCAGGCTGAACGACCGCATTGCTTGTGGGAAGGGGTGGGGCTTGCTCATAACTCAGTTCTGGAGTTCAGTGTTCTGAACTTCTTTGCAGCTGTCATATAAGCTCTGTTCTCCAATGTTGACCATATTCATAATAAAGATGATATTTTGGTTTCTGTCTGCTGAGTCCTCTTATTTATGTCTATCTATTTAGGGATCCTCAGTACCACAGGTAACAATTTCCCCTCCTAAGAGGCTGTCACTAAGACCTGTTAATTGTGTTTTCTTCGGGAGATATACTAGATATATAGGTACACATATACTTCGCTACATGTGAGTAAAGCATATTCAGAATGCTGTTCAACAGCTTGCAATGTATCATAGATATCTTTTTAAATTAGAACATATAGAGCTGCTTCATTCTTTTTAATGACTGCATTGCACCCGATTAACCAGCTACGTTGCACCTGATTAACCAGTCCCCTCTCCATGTACAATGAAGATTTTCTCAATCTTTCACTATTTCAGAGAATTGAGCATAGTGGATAAACGTGCAAACTCTGGAGCCAGCCTACCTAGGGTTGAGTTCCGGTGCCACTACTTACTAGCAATGTGAACCTGGGTAAGTTACTTAACCTCTCTGTGCCTCCATTTCTGTATAAAATAAGTAATAATTGTAACCTCGTAGTAGCTGGAATTACAGGCAGGCACCACCATACCCCATTAATTTCATAGTGTTCTGTGAGGATTCGATGAATGCATGCCACACATTTGGAATCATGCTGAAAGTGTAATAAGCATCAGTAAGTTCTAGGCAATTTGATCACTGCTGCAATTCAAGTTATGTAGGCAATTTTCCATGTATTTGAGCAGAATAAATCCTTAGAAATAGGATTTCTTATAAATTCTTAGAAAAGAATTTAGAATGTTGTTGGCTGTTGCCAAATCATCTTCTGTGGTAGCTGTACCAACGGGCCGTCCTACCAGTAGTATATGTGTGTCTTGGTTCCCCTCAATCTTTTATTTATTTATTTTGAGACGGAGTCTCTTTCTGTTGCCAGGCTGGAGTGCAGTGGCGTGATCTCGGCTCACTGCAACCTCCCACTCCCTGGTTCAAGGGATTCTCCTGCCTCAGCCTCCCAAGTAGCAGGGATTACAGGTATGCACCACCATGCCCAGCTAATTTTTGTATTATTAATAGAGACGGGATTTCACCATGTTGGCCAGGATGGTCTCAATCTTCTGACCTAGTGATCCACCCACCTTGGCCTCCCAGAGTTCTAGGATTACAGGTGTGAGCCACCGCTCACCGCAGTACCCCTCAATCTTGTTCACACAGTTCATTAGCAAACTTTTTCAATTTTGCCAGTCTTATCCATGAAAAAATTATCTAATCATAGTTGCGATCATTATTTCCCTTATAATGAGTGAAGTTGTGTATCTTTTCATATATTTTAGCCATTTATATATTCTTTCCTGCAAGTTGCCCACCTGTATCCCTTGTCTTTTCTATTGCATTGTTCATTTTCCCCCTATTGATTTAAAAGAAATCTTTATTTGTCTATAAGACACTTTGCAAGTGTTTCCTACGCTTGTCATTTGTCTTTTGTCTTTTTTTTTTTTTTTTTTTGAGACAGAGTTTCACTCCTGTTACCCAGGCTGGAGTGCAATGGCATGATCTCGGCTCACCGCAACCTCCATCTCCTGGGTTCAGGCAATTCTCCTGCCTCAACCTCCTGAGTAGCTGGGATTACAGGCATGTGCCACCATGCCCAGCTAGTTTTTTGTACTTTTAGTAGAGACGGGGTTTCACCACATTGACCAGGATGGTCTCGATCTCTTGACCTTGTGATCCACCCACCTTGGCCTCCCAAAGTGCTGGGATTACAGGCGTGAGCCACCGCACCCGGCCCTGTCTTTTGACTTTTTAATGGTACTTTGGAAGTCAAGTTAATCTTTTCTGATTTCTGGGCTTTGTGACATATATTCAAAGGTATGCTCTACAAAAATATTTTTTAAAATTCTCCCATGTTTTCTTCTAGTGCTTTATGATTTTTTACAGTTACATTTTTGACATATCTGGAATGTATTATCACATAAGAAGTGAAATATGGATCCTACTTTATTTTCATTTACAAGGTTACCTATATATCTTAATTCATTTATTGAATAAACCAATTTCTCCCAAATGATTTCATATGCCATCTTCATGATACACTAAATTTCCTTATGTGTTTTGGTCAATTTCTGGTCTTTAAATTCTATTCGATCGATTAATTTACTCATGCACCAATACCATATTGCTTTAATTTGTCATGCTTAATAAAACAGGCACTTTAGTTAGCTGCAAGGGCTAGCCTTCTCACATAACTTTTATTTATTATTTACTTATTTTTATACATTTTCCTGAATTTGCTGTTTCATTTATTGTTCACATAGGAAATTTAGAGTAAGCTTGCCTAGCGAAAAATAATCTTATTGATATTTTGTTGTTGTTCACCTTTGGGACTCATCGGATGCTTTTTTTCTTTTCTTTTTTTTTTTTTGCGGGGAAGCTTTCTGGCAAAAACCGGAAAGCCTGCTATAAAAATGCCATTATAAATATCAACAAGTGTCTTGGGCACAGGGAAGGGAATAGCACTCACAGGGCTAGGTGGAGGGGGGAGTGGAGGGAAGGGGAGGGACAGTTTGAGGGGGAGGATGGGAAGGGATAACATCGGGAGAAATGCCTGATGTAGGTGATGAGGGGGCAGGGGCGGATGGAGACAGCAAAGCACCATGGCATGTACGTACCTATGCGACAGTCCTGCAGGATGCAGGACATGCACTTATACCCCAGAGCCCAAATACAAAAAAAAATAAAAAATAAAAATAATGCATATCATTAAGCGATACAGCTCTTTTATAATGGCATTTTATATGTGATTATTCATTAGGATTTGGGGGGAATTAATGTTAGATTCATCTTTATCTCTGGTTTTCATATAATATTGTTATGCATCTCTCTAATGCTATAGGACAAAGGTGAAAATCTCCATTTACGTAGTGCTTTTATACAGTAGAGACCTTGTATTTGTGTAGAATTCTGGGATGTATGTAATGCTTATGTATAAGATATTTCATTTAATACTCATGCTAAATATTAGTGTTAAGTGTTATCTCTGTTTTCAAGATGAAAAACGTGAGGCTTGAAAAGTTCAACAAGCTTGCCTAAATGAATGCAGCTAGTTAGTGGCAGAGTTTGAGACCTTCACCCCAATCAAATCTGACCTTGTTTCCAAGTGCCGTCACCTTTAATGGCTGTGAATGAGCTATGGACTTTTAGTCTTGACCTCTGGAGAAGGTGGCAGGAACAGACAAATAAATAATAAAGAGGGAGGTAGCACTATGGGGGGTTGCTTTTATTTGGAATTCCTGGTAGATTGTTCATTTGGTTGACTCCTCCCAAGCTGATTCATGATACTGGGCAAATATCTGTTCACTGAGCTCCGTACCGCACACTTTGGAAGGGTACAAGGAAGGCAGTCTATGCCCCCAACGGCCTCAGAGGCTGTCATTTCAAGTGGGAGGGTCATCCGTCTTTTCTCTGTCCAGGAAAAGACTGACCATTGGTCTTCAAAGCTGCTAGACAGCATTGCCAGATCACACCTAAACAACTCCGACTGCGGTTTTATCTGGGTGTTGGTCCAACATTTGTAAAAAAGGGAAAGTGATGTGTGAAGATGGAGCTGAGAGGAGAGGAAGTGGATTCAAGTGTCATTGGAAAAGCCGGGTCAGTTCTTTACGATAATTTGAGCATAGACAATGGGGTCGAAGTCTGCAGAACGGTTCTCAGCCGAGTGATTGCTCTTTTCTTCTGAGTGTTTGAAAGTCATGTTAGCACAGGCAAGGGATTCCTCTGGGATGGATGAAAGCTGCAGTGGGAGAAAAAGGAGGAATGAGTGAGTTCAGTTTGGAGCAAAAGGTTACTCTTTAGAAGCAACCTGAGCACTGTGGTCAAAGAATCCCTTGCCCAGTATCTGGAAATCGATACCACCATTCTAGTAGATAATGCAGAGTGTGCAGGGGAAATCCAATGACAGTGACTTTTCAGTGTCCTCAAAACAGTGTGGTTGTCTTACCATGGCCGGAGGATCTGTGTGAGGATCCAGGGCTTGGGGCTTGGGGTGACCTGCCGTAGTGCCAGAAAGAAGAGGGACCCATCTTAGCAATGAGCCTGGAGAAATGGGAAGCCTCTCCCTTCAATCTTGGGTGAAGGGTGGGGTGGGGAGGAGGAGTTGGCAGGTGGGGAGGGCAGGGTAGAAGAAAAATGAAGGGTTTCAAGTTCTCAGTCTGCAGACAGGGTGGGCTAAGCAGGTTTTATCACACTGCACCCTCCCCCACCTCCTCCCGCTACTCACTCATAGCTAATTCTAGTCTCAGTGGCAGAGAAAGAAGGGCTGTCCTATCCCCTGGAGACTGCTTACATTTTCTGTAGCTCTTTATGATGAGGAAGATAAAGGCCATCAGCAGCAGCGTCAGTAGAACCCCAACACAAAAGGCAAGGATTAAATGTTCTTTGCTGTTTTGGCAAAGAAAGGGAGAGGATGAACTGTTGGACTTTTGAAGGCCTTTCCGAAAGGTCAGAGGGTAACTTTTCCTGCCTATGGATGGACTCCTGAAATGGTTTTCATACTGGTTAATAGACCCAGTGGTTTCTAGCTTTTGCTTTTGAGTTTCACATCCATTTGAGGCCCCAGTGAAAGCTGTGGCCTCTCCCCCTACCCCTCCGTCAACTCACACAATGTTTATCATTCCCCACCCAGCAAATTTTACTTATAAGCTTAGGGGATGCCAGGTTAAGAGCCATACTCCTGAGATCACAAACTGACTTTGTTCCTTTACTGTTTCTGGTCCTTTCTCCCCAGACTCCCTGACCAAGTCCCCAAGCCAAAGCTGTCAACACAATATCAAATCCCATGTGGTACAAGGTGAAAGAGATGAGAGAATGCTCATTTACTTGCGGTGGTTGGAGAGACAGGGTACAGAGCTAGTTGTTGGGGCTGCTGTGGAGAGATTGTCTTGTCTTTCTACAAGAAAACACAAAAGGAATTAGTGTATCTGCGTTTTCCGTGATATCCTTCCAGCTTAAGTGTCCCCAGGTGCCCCATTCTGCCCAAGCAACCGGTGGAAATTAAGGATGGGGCTGCAACTCTTATAAAAATGGGAGAACATTATAGTTTTTAGATTCCAAGTACTTTTAAATGCAAATTAGAACTGGAACTTAAAAATCAACCAGCTGCATAAATGAAATACAAGCCTAGTGTCCCTTTGATAAATAAAAACATCTCAGGTGTTGCCTTCCTCAAAGATTTTAACAGGAATCCCTGAAGAGATATGCTCCCGACCTAAGGAAAGCATCTCCCAGCTAGGGAGAAACAGAATAAATGTTTCCCAAAGTCTTGGGGAATTTGACCTTGAAACTGCTGCCCTTTTTTTTGCTTTTTTTTTTTTTTTTTTTTTTTTTTTTTTTTTGCAGGGCAGCGGTTAACAGTGCCTAGCCCAAAACACAGTGGTTTTCGCAATACTTACACCACAAATAGGGGAGCAGGACCCAGCTAGTTTGATATCAAGCAGATACACCTTTTACTCTGATTTGGAGGGCCAGGTAGTTCTCTATGGTTCCGCCTTTCACCCCTCCCGGCATTAGATTCTGTGTCATGGTAAAATCAGAATCTTCCAACTTCAGAAATGCTAGTGCCTTTCCATGACAGCCCTTCAGCACCATTTCTAGTTCTTTCAGCTCAGAAGTGAAGCAAATAATTATTCCTGTCGTAAACTCACCAGTGACGGGTTTAGGTGTGGAGTTATTTCCTCCCATGCTGTCATCCCCTGAGAACAAAAAAGGTATCTCTTAGAAAGCTTGGAAGGGGCCGGGCACGGTGGCTCAAGCCTGTAATCCCAGCACTTTGGGAGGCCGAGGCGGGTGGATCACGAGGTCGAGAGATCGAGACCATCCTGGTCAACAAGGTGAAACCCTGTCTCTACTAAAAATACAAAAAATTAGCTGGGCATGGTGGCGTGTGCCTGTAATCCCAGCTACTCAGGAGGCTGAGGCAGGAGAATTGCCTGAACCCAGGAGGTGGAGGTTGCGGTGAGCCGAGATCGTGCCATTGCACTCCAGCCTGGGTAACAAGAGCGAATCTCCATCTCCAAAAAAAAAGGGAGAGGCAGCTGAGGGGCCTTATACTCTTATATGACTGTGATTGTCATGTAAGAGTAGTGACAATGAGAGGCAATTTGTAGGTGTTCTGGTGCCATCAGTGGTCACAGACCACTCGTCAGTGGTCAACAACTCTGGGGTGTTTCTGCAGCTCAGCAGCCAGCCTTCAGGTTTGCAGATCCAGCAATTTGATCTTCTTATCAGGGCACCAAGAATTGACTGATTTCTCCAGAACTGATTCCCACCAACCAACTCACAGGAGACCGATGTATAAGCTGAATTGAATTAATGTAAGGTATACATTGGTGCAACCAGTGAATTTTGCCTATCAGAACATGTAAGAATGCCAATAAAAAAATCATAATTTTGCTTGGTAAGCACTGAAGTAAGTATGAGAGAAAATGAATGGATGATATTTATATTGACTGCCAACTAGGTCTGATGTATCAACCTTACTCTTCCCTGGCATTGCTGCGTAGACTTTGATAAACCTGCTCTTGGAGACCCTTACTCTAGGCCTCATTAGAGACTTCTAATCTGTTCACGTATTGTCTTCTCAAGTCTGCCAATATTCTTGCCTAGGCTTTATATCAAAACGTATAAAGTATCTAAAGACAGAAAAGTGAAATCACCCAAACTCCCTACTACCCATTAATATTTTTAGTGTCTTTCCTTTTAGCCATACTTCCATGCATTTTTTAAAAAGCTAGTTGAGATATTTCTTTATACAAGAAGTTATATCTTCCTTTCTAAATCAGCATTTTATCATACGCATTCTTCTATGTCACTAAAAACTTTTTATAACATTTTTAGTGGCGATAGGTCTTTCCATTATAGCTATTTGCTTATTGGATTCCCCACTAATTTATAGAATTGTTTCCATTTTTATTTAAATCAATAACAATGAAACAGATATTTTTGTGCGTAAAACATTGCGTGCATCCCTGATTTTTTTTCTTTTTTCTTTTTCTTTTTCTTTTTTTTTTTTTTTGAGACGGAGTTTCGCTCTTGTTACCCAGGCTGGAGTGCAACGGCGCGATCTCGGCTCACCGCAACCTCTGCCTCCTGGGTTCAGGCAATTCTCCTGCCTCAGCCTCCTGAGTAGCTGGGATTACAGGCACGCGCCACCATGCCCAGCTGATTTTTTTGTATTTTTAGTAGAGACGGGGTTTTACCATGTTGACCAGGATGGTCTCGATCTCTTGACCTCGTGATCCACCCGCCTCGGCCTCCCAAAGTGCTGGGATTACAGGCTTGAGCCACCGCGCCCGGCGATTTTTTTTCTTTAGGAGGCCACAATTTTACTTCATATTTAGGCAAACTCATGGGAAAATGTTTTGGCTTTGTTATTTATTCTATATTTTAAGGTCATTTATTTAAACAAGTGCCATCAATTATTTATTGTTGTATTGTTCAGCTCTCAAAAGTTAACTTCCAAGTCCTTGGATCTGTGGGAGGGTACGGAGGATACCTTATCTCCATGTACCTGTTACAACAGCAACACTGCCAAGTACCTTACAATTCACCAAACATTTTTAGATCAGGCAATGTCAGACAATAAGAAAGGGGCCAACAGGAAAATGTGATGAGGAGTCTGAGCCATGAGAACAGGAAGGCCCTAGTCCACAGCAGAATCGGTAGTGGTAATTTTTCTCAGCTTTTTTTGCTGCTTTTCTAACTTGTAAGTCAATGGTGCTCTTTGCAGACCATCATAAAATATTGAGATAATATTTTTAAAATATTGAAATATATGTTGGTGCTAAATAGAATATGAGCTTACACCAGGCTTTGTCACTGGGGAGGTGGAAGAAGATTTGATCATAGGTTTCTGTAAAATCCTGACCTTCACATCAGTAGTTCTGCATTTACAAAAATGTTACCGTAGCCTCCGTAAAAGCATCAGGCCACCCCACCCTAACTTTCACATAAATGGACAAAATCATCACGCAATACCACAGGGAAATAGCTACTCACAAATCCAGGCCAAAAAAAGCAGGAAACACATTTCCCTTTCAGCACAACCCAAACATTTGGCAGAAGCATACATTAAAATAGAAATGGTGCTATATTTACTTTTTCACGTTTCATCCAACACTGGAGAATCTTACTGATTGCTGTAAAACACATCAACTAAATAGAACCATTCAAATACAGCCCTTCCCACACCAAATAAAACAGGTGATAGAAACCACTAACAATTAGATGACACTTACTTTTGGTGAGCAATTATTTAATCTAGATTAAAAGCATATGGTAAATGCATTTATTTACCTTTCAAGAAAACGCCCGGTCATAAGACGCAATTGTTTAGGACTGAGCACTTCATTTGCTTCCGTTACTATGTTTGCTTCCTATGTTTCAGAAATGACGAAATAAAGATTACTACCTCTGCCACTGCCAGCATCACATTGTGTGTCACAAAGATCTAAACTCAAGGGTAGACTTCCTCTTTGATGTCAACGTTAGGATTTTTTGATCTTCCTTTTGTGTTCCTTTGTGTCTGACACATGAATGCCAGAACATATGGAGACGAGACAGGTTTCTTGCTAATTAAATATTTATTATTTACTTTAACCACCGTGCCAGATTTTCTGTGGAGGGCGCATCATTATGACATTATCATTGTCATCAAAAGCCTTATAGTCTCATCTATTCCAACCAGGGAGATGAGGCTGATAATGAAAAATGAAGAGCAAACAGTGTTAGGAGTTAAGTACTAGCTGTGCAGACTTCAAATGTGTTCAGAGTGTTGAGATCCCTTCAAAGGGAAGGTGAATCATTTCTTTATAAATATTTATTTGTAAAATAATATTAATAATATACTTACTAAGTAAATGCTATAGGCCATACAGTGGGCTGGTTATAGGATTATTATTATTTTTTTTTTAGAAGGAGTTTCACACTTGTCACCCAGGCTGAAGGGCAGTGATGCCATCTGGGCTCACTGCAATCTCCACCTCCTGGGCTCAAGTGATTCTCCTGCCTCAGCCTCCCAAGTAGCTGGGATTACAGGCATGAGCCACCACTCCTGGCTAATTTTATATTTTCAGTAGAGATGAGTTTCACCATGTTGGTCAGGCTGGTCTCAAACTCCTGACCTCAACTGTTCTACCTCCCTTGGCCTCCCAAAGTGCTGGGATTTACAGGCGTGAGTCACTACATCTGACCAGGTGTTATAGGTTTTTTGGAGAGCAAGGTAGAAAAGTTCCTTGGCTCACGGACTCTACCACTTAATTGAGAAGAGAAATGAAAAACAAGTAAATGATAAGTCAATGACACATTGCATTAAGGACCATGAAGGGAAGAAACAGAGTCCTAGCTGGAGAGAATACACTGGGAGAATGTCTTTAGAGAAGATGGAGGACTGGGGAAGGCTTCTCTAAGGAGTGGACACTTCCACTTAGAGAACTCGAGGATGAGACGGAGCTGGCCAGGCACAGAGTCTGGGGAAGAGGTTTTCAGGTGGAGAGAAGAGTAACTGACAGCTGGTGGAGCTGGAGAAATCAGGCAAGGATGCATGCAGGTAAACCTTGAGCACGGATAGGCTTTGGGTGGATGGAGGGAGAAAGGGCTGCGGGAGGGGTGCCCAGGCCCAGGTTAGCTGCTGAAATTCAAGTGATGTATTTCTGGGATATCAGCACAGTTCAAAAGTGGGACATTATGAGTGGGTGTGGTGGTTGACTCTTGTAATTCCGCACTTTGGGAGGCTGAGGCAGGAGGATCCTTTGAGCCCAGGAGTTTCAGGCTGCAGTGAGTCACAATCATGCCATTGCACTTCAGCCTGAGTGACAGAATTCTTAAATAAATAAATAAAATAAATAAATAGAGTGGCGCATTTGGAGAGGGTGGGAGATAAAAAATAGTTTACATAAGCCGGGCGCGGTGGCTCAAGCCTGTAATCCCAGCACTTTGGGAGGCCGAGGCGGGTGGATCACGAGGTCGAGAGATCGAGACCATCCTGGTCAACATGGTGAAACCCTGTCTCTACTAAAAATACAAAAAATTAGCTGGGCATGGTGGCGCGTGCCTGTAATCCCAGCTACTCAGGAGGCTGAGGCAGGAGAATTGCCTGAACCCAGGAGGCGGAGGTTGCGGTGAGCCGAGATCGTGCCATTGCACTCCAGCCTGGGTAACAAGAGCAAAACTCTGTCTCAAACAAAACAAAACAAAACAAAAAAAAACCAAAATAAAACAAAATAGTTTACATAGATGGATTACAGCCAGATGGTGAGGAGCTTTAAATTCAAGCAAGATATAGTTAAAATATTTTTTTTAAAAAAAGCACTAAATCTTTTTGATTGAGATATAACATGATAAACAGCCTTTATGACAGATTATATAATATCATATAAGATAAATTGTGGATAGAGACAAGCTAGAGGGCATGGTGATGTTCTGGGTATTGTGTAGTAAGGGTGCAGGCTGCAGGAGTAGGAAGGAAACCACGGGGATCATAACATTGGAGGACGTATAACTTGGGACCTGGATATGGGGCATAAAATAGTAGGATGAGTCAATGATTACTTCAAGTTTTTGGATCTCGGTTGCTCAGATAATTCATTTCTTCATTCACTTACTCCAAAAACACTTACTGAACATTTACTATGTGCTATGTACTATTCTAAGCTTTGAGGATATTATGATGAGCATGAGGGCCTGCCTTCATGGAACTTTCAGACTAGCAAAGGAGGCCCTTACCACACAAAGAAATGGTAAATTGTGACTGTTACGTGTGCTGTGAAGGATCAGGGCCCCGTGCCATCAATGCCTACAATAAAGGAGAAGAGGACCAGGGAAGACTTCTTAGAGCCAAAACACAAAACAACCCAACAGAAATCTGAAATGTGAGTTAGAGTTCCGCTAGACCAAAAGGAAAGGAAAATTCAGAGGAAATAGAACATTTAAAAGCCCTGTGCCAGAAAGAGGGTAGGAAGTTGAAGCGGGGGTTGGCGGGGGGGGGGGGTAAAGACTACCGTGACAAAAGCTGAAAGAGGAAGTATGTGAGGTGGCACTGGGGTGGGGTGGGGACAGAGGGTGGAGCACGAGGAGGATGAGGTTGAATAGGCAGGAAGGGCCAGTCCTCCAGAACTTTTGACTTTAAGAGAAGTGGGTTTGCCGGGCGCGGTGGCTCAAGCCTGTAATCCCAGCACTTTGGGAGGCCGAGGCGGGTGGATCACGAGGTCAAGAGATCGAGACCATCCTGGTCAACATGGTGAAACCCCGTCTCTACTAAAAATAGAAAACGTTAGCTGGGCATGGTGGTGTGTGCCTGTAATCTCAGCTACTCAGGAGGCTGAGGCAGGAGAATTGCCTGAACCCAGGAGGCAGAGGTTGCGGTGAGCCGAGATCGTGCCATTGCACTCCAGCCTGGGTAACAAGAGCGAAACTCCGTCTCAAAAAAAAAAAGAGAAGTGGGTTTATCTGTACTAAAGATAGTTAAACAAGGTGACAAGATCAGGTTTGCGTTCTGGAGCAATCACTAAAACTGGAGCAAACAGACTGGAAGTTAGCCAGAATAGATATGAATAGACCAGTTGAGAGATTACTCCAGTGATCTAGTTGAGGAAGGTAATAGTGACGTGGACCAGGATGGCAGCAGTGGAGAGATGAAGAGATATATATGGATTTCAGAGATATTTAGAAAAGTGGCAGCAAAAGCAATGGGTGATAAAAAAAATCAGATTATGATCAAAGATACCACCAAAGGGCAAGAAGGTGGAAGAGGAGCCAGAGAAGGAAACAGCTGTAGTTCCAGTCTTAGAGGGAGGATTAACTAATTAATCAGACATTTACTGAGCACCTACCCAAACACCCTGTCAAACTCTGGAGATTCAATAATGAGTTAAGACATAGTTCTCGACTTGCAGGATCTGTCTCTTCTAGAGAGACAGGTATCTTTGCTCATGTACAAAAGTATGCTCCAGATTGGCCAGTGACATAAATAAGCATAATGAAATAATGAAATGTAGACGTGAGACATCTGTATAGGATAGAGTGAGACACAATGAACAAAGGGATCTGACTGCACGGTAAGGAGGGCGGATAGGTGTCAAGAAAAGCCTCGTAGAGGACACAGTGTTTGAGTTGCCCCTCGAAAGATGAATAATTTTCTAGGCAGACCGAGGGCGGAAATGTATTCCAGGTAGAGGGACAGAGTGAACAAAGGCATGCTTTGGCACGTTGGTTGAGTTTAGGGAAATGCAAGTATTTCACCATAGGTGATGCTATGGAGAACGAGGAGAGGATAAGGGTGGGAATGGAAGAGGAAAGGCTGGAGAGGAAGGATAAGATCAGGTAATGGTGGGCCCTAAACATATTTTACCCTTAAAGGCAATGGAAAGACTGCTGAAGAGGACTAACGCAAGCACAATTGGGTTTTGACGACAGAGCTCGGGGGACTGGTGAGGTACCAGACAGTGGGTGAAGAATTCTTTGGTGTTGCAGAGTTCCAAGTGAGAAACTAGTGAAAAGAGGCAATGGCCATGGAGAAGAGGTAGAGCAGACGGGTGATGAATCTAGTCATTTATTAGGGGTGAGAGGAAAGTAAGAGAGAGAGGGGAGGTGGCGATTACTACATTTCCTGTATTGTATCCATCAGCTAACGTTGAGAATATAAAAGAAGGGGTTATAGGATTGGCAAAAAACAATGAGTTTAATTTTGGACACATTGGGTTTGGGGTGCCTGTGGAACATTCAGGTAAAGATGTTGAGAGAGCAGTTGTATGCACAGATCTGGGGTTCACAAAAGAGATCTAGAGTTGTGTGGTAGGCAGTTGTAGTTCTCACCAATAACCAGCTCTCTCCTTGTGTGGACCGTCCCTTGTGGTTGGGTAATGTCATGTGACAAGTTCTGGCCAATGGGCAGTGAATGAAGTGATACATGTCCCATTTAGTCAAAGCATTAAAATGCTGACACAAGACCTCCTCTGACCCCCTCCCACAACAGCGCAGTTATGGAGATTTTGTGATGGGAAGGTGAAGGTAAGAGTTCTAACCCTGGATCATTGAGTCAGCATATGGAGGACAGTTTCTCTGGGGAGTCACTTGGACCTGCAGTAGACTCTATATGAGCAAAAAGTAAATTTTTCCAAATTAAGCTACCGATATTTTGGGTAGATCTTTTCTTTTCTTTCTTCTTCTTTTTTTTTTTTTTTTTAAGACAGGTCTTATATGTTGCCCAAGCTGCTCTTGAACTCCTGGGCTCGAGCTATCCTCTCGCTTCAGCCTCCCTAATAGCTGGGATCATAGGGGTGACATTGCTATTATCTCATCTCACTTTCTAATCTATCTTTCCAAATACAATTTGAGATATAGATTAGGCAGTCACCAGCATATACATGATAGTAGAAGCCACAGGAATGGATAAGGTAATCCACATACAGTATGTATTATAGAATGAGAATAAAATTCCTAGGATAGAACTCTGAGGAGCACCAAGATTTAAGAGAGGGAGGCAGAAAAAGGGGAGTCAGCTAAGGAAATCGAGAAGAAACAGTGACAGTAGAAATAGCATAAGCATATGTGATTAGAAACTAGAGGAGGAGAGGAAGGAAGGAACAGTCGAGGCCAACAGTGCCAAATGCTGCTGAGAGAGACGCCAAGTAACATGAGGACTAGAAAGAGTTGACTGGATTTGGCAATTAAGAGATCATAACTTTTTGCTTAAGTAGCTTGGGTTGTGGTAGTAGTAGGAAATTTACTTTCAATGGGCTGATGAGTAATGGAAATTCCCAGGCATTTAGCAGATTAGGTATGTAAAGAAATCCTCTTGTCATCCACACTTGTTGGATAAAATATTTTAAACACCATAACTTAAAAACACATGGCTAAAGTAGATGTGGGAAATCCTGGACGAGATAAGAAAGCTGATTGAGACTTGAAGTAGGTATTTGCCCTGGGTATAGCTACCAATTTTTGGTGACCTGAAGGTTGGGTTTAAAGGTCATGTGTGCAAGGTTAGGAAACCAAGTCTAAAGTGTGCACAAAGATGGCGACTTGGATTCACTCCCTGAAAAGGGACCCCTGCTGGGTGAATGAGGAAAAAAATCCATGCCACAGGTGGAGATGGTAGAGACCTTTGCTGTATTCGTTTTCTATTGCTGCCTAATATATTATCACACATTTAGAAGCTTAAAACAATACACATTTATCTTATAGTTTCTATGAGTTAAAAGCTTGGACATGTTTTATCAAGGTTCTCTACATCAGGGTTTCACCAGGCTGGAATCCAGATATTGGCTGGGGTTGTGGTGTTATCAGAGGCTTGACTAGAAGAAGATATGCTTCCAAATTCCCTCTAGTTGTTGGATGAACTCATTTCCTTGTGACTTATATGACTGAGGGCCCTGGCTTCTTACTGGTTGTCAGCTGGAGTCTAATCACAGGTCCTAGAAGATGTCTACAGTTCCCTGTCATGTGGTTCTCTCCATAGGCAGTTTACAACATGGCAGTTTGAATGCCACAGAAAAGTCTCTCCAGCCTGTTAAGACAAAGTTGTATATAACATAATGTCATGATGGGAGTGACAGCCTGTCACCTTTGCTATATTCTATTGATTAGATGCAAGTCACAGATCCCACCCACATTCAGGAGAGGGAGGATGATACTTGGGGTAACACAAGGGAGCAGAGATCATGGGGCATTGTAGAATTCTACCTGTCATACTTGCTTATCTCAAGCTTGGCTCTGGGTAGAAGGGGATAAAAAGAAAAACAAAACAAAATACCTTTTCCTTGGACATTCCTAACCACAAACCTAACTTTAGGAGGTTTTAGGCCAGACTTTGTACTCTATATGGACCTCAAATTTCTAAGCAACAACATTGGTTGTTTAAGTTGGACCCTAAGAGAAGAAAATGCAGATTATCTGTAGAAAAATGCCTTTTCTACCAGGTGTCAAAGACTTCCACAGACACATTTCCAATAAATATGAGCCAACAACAAGACAAATCACAAAAACTCAAAAGGTAATTAAGCCGTCATGGAAGAGATAGCAGAAATAACAAACCACAAAGGTTAGAGACAGAAACTTGCAAAGACTGTAGGTATAGGAATGATCATATCCAAAATTAAAATATGCTTAATATTTTTAAGTAAATAAAATGGATATTGAAAGTGTAACAAAGGAACAAAAAAGTACTAAAATAATCAGGCAAATTTGAAAAGAAATACATAGAATGTAAAGATATTAAACCTACTGTAGAAAGTAAAAAGTTCCTCTTCAAAGTTTCCCTTCTTGCTAAAGAAAAATAACAATAAATGTTAGAAATACTAGTTTGTTTCAAAGACTAACTTTCTTTAAAACCTTCTTGCTTTTTGCTAATATCTCTTTGTTAAGCCCTAGCCTATGTAGCTGTTAGACATGCTCACAGGCATGTAGTACATTCCATGTCCTTGTACTTTAATCAAAATATCTGTGCTGAATGTGCTCACAGGCGTGTCCTAGCTTGCAGCCTATGTCCCTTCCTTATCTGGACTTCCTCTTTCCTTTGTTCTCCATTGCCTTTACTTATTTAGAAAAGTTTTAAGTTGTTAGCCAATTGGGTTCAGTTTAGATTGTGAGATCTGGCTCCAAACAATGGAGATCTGATATAACAGTAAGGACCCAATGCATAAGAAATAAATATTCCTGCCTTTCCTTTGTTCATTGTACTCTCGTGGCAAGATGGCTAACAGGAGCGCCCTTTCTGCAGAAAGTAAAATTGCCTTGCTGGGAAAATTTTCTGTCTGAATGATAATTTTTCCTTGTGGTACCTGGAAACAAGCATTCTGTCTCAAACACCTATTATTGAAATTAGAAATTGCTATGTTTAAATGTGTCCCCTCCAAAATTCATGTTGAATCTTAATCTGTATTGTGATGGTATTGAGAGGTGATGCCTTTTGGTAGATGATTAAGTCATGAGCACCCTGCCCCTGATTGGATTTAGCATCCTTACAAAAGGGCTCAAGTTTGAAGACAGTCCTCTCTTACCTTTCTGTCTCTTCTGCCATGTGAGGATACAGTATGCCTTCCCACCAGAAGATACAGAAGCAAGGTACCATCTCAGAAGCAGAGAGCAATCCTCACCAGACACTGATCTGGCTGCCACCTTGATCTTGGACTTTCCAGCCCCCAGAACTGTGAAAAATTAATTGTATTTTATTTTTATCTTTATTTTAAAAAGAGACCGGATCTTGCTATGTTGCCCAGGCTGGAGTGCAGTGGCTATTCACAGGTACGATCCCACTACTGACCAGCACAGGAGTTTTGACCTGCTCCATTTCCAGTCTGAACTGGTTCACCCCTCCTTAGGCAACCTGGTGGTCCCTCACTCCTGGAGGTCACCATAGTGATGCTGAACTTAGTTCGGACACCCAATCAGCAAAACACTACAGCCCAGAACTCCTGGACTCGGGAAATCCTCCCACCTCAGCCTCCCAAGTAGGTGGGACTACAGGCATGTGCCACTGCACCCGGCAATTAATTGTATTTTCTTTTTAAGTTATCTGGTCTCAGCAGGTATTCTGTCATAGAAGCATAAATGAACTAAGACAGACATTCAGTAGTGGGGATAAATCACAAGTTTAAAACATTTGAAGAGAAAAACAGTGGACTGGAAAGATAACACAGAGAGACAACAAGATAAAAACATAAAAGAGAGATTAAAATATTAAAATTTCTAGTGTGATCACTAAAATAGAAAGAGTAACTCAAACTATTAGAGAAAAAAATTGGAATTAAATTAGATTAAATAATCCAAATCATTAAATTTTCCAAATATAATAATTCAATAATTAAAGAACCCAAAACAAGAGTTCCAACTTCTCCACATCCTCGCCAACACTTATTTTCGATGTTCTTGATAGGTGCCTGCTGGATTTTTTTTTCCCTAGACAGAGTCTCACTGTCACCCAGGCTGGAGTGTAGTGGTGTGACCTTGACTCACTGCAACCTCTGCCTCCTGGGTTCAAGCAATTCTCCTGCCTCAGCCTCCCAAGAGGATCCCAAGGATCCTCTCAATCCACCCAAGCAGGATTATAGGTGCCTGCCACCATGCCCAGCTAACTTTTTGTATTTTTAGTAGGCATAGGGTTTCACTAAGTTGGCCAGGCTGGTCTCAAACTCCTGACTTCAAGTGATCTGCCTGTCTCAGCCTCCCAAAGTGGAGGGATTATAGGTGCAAGCCACTGTGCCTGGCCTGCTGGATTCTTAAGAGTGATTTTATGACACACTGAGTCCATAATATTTTCTACAGGCATACTACTAAAATGGTAATAAAGTCAACGATATGCGTTGATATATAATATTCCATTTAGTTATTTTAAGAGTACTACAAAGCTTTACATATCTCATATCAGCCAGAAATAATTCACCACTGGATGGTCTCAAAAACAAGACAGTAGTTCAATGACATCTTTAATTTTTACCTATATGACAAAAGCTGAGTATTTCAGAGACTTATACAACTTGAAAAACTTCATGTCATTAAATTGTCACTTTATTGCAAGACGGTAGAATTAATTACAAATTTACGCTACAACGTGGTAATCTTTAGTCAGGCAGCAAGTTTTTATAAAGGCAAACTGCTTATATAGAAGTGATCATAGAATAACTCAAATGCAGAGTAAGAAGGATGAGAAATAGTTGACTGGCCGATAGAGATTTCGTTCTGTCACTATTTAACACAAACTTTTCATTTTTAGGAGAGGTAAACCATAACTTCAGTAGACATCAATACAGAAAGATTTTGTCAAATAGACTCGTTTCCATTTAGTCAGTCAACTTTCTAGCTGTCTCAGTTGGAATAGATACATTTACATAACTGGCTGTGCTTGAGCCTTCTTTGCCAGCAGCTTTAGGTCAGCAATGCACTTGGCGATCGTCTCCTTCTCCTGTGATAAGGAAAGAGAAATCTGGTAAGACCTTTCCAAAACATAGAAAAGTACAAATACCATTATTCTAAAAGACACCTCCTACCAGACCAGAAGCTCAAGAGGATTACTGGCTTAACATTATTACGGCTACTAGACTGGTTTAGACGTAAAATTAAAACAGAGAAGATACAATTTATTTTAAGCAAATTCAGGGGGTTAGTTAAAATTCCCTGGCTCACAGCTTTTATGAGTAAAATCTGCATAGAATTTGAGGCCAGATATTCCTGTAACCATCTGCCACTGATGTTGGCTTGTATAATAAACAGCTGCTTGAAAAAGACCAACCAAACAAATGTTAGTAATATACAAATGTTAGGAATGAAAATAATTTTTAGTATCTTTTTTAGACTTCTTTTGTATTTTCTAAGTTTCTTAAGCATGTATATAGTTATGTGAAAGACAGTTTATTAAAAAAAAAACAACAAAAAACTTTGATCCTGTTCTTCTAATTCTATATAGGTTATGCTGAAAATGACCAGAAATACTTAAATGTTATATTCCTGAGAAAAAAATCAAGTCATAATAAAGCAAAAATATAAATAAAGTAATTCAGTTTAAGCAAATAGAAAACATTTCCATTCAAAACAGATAAATTATGCAGCTGAGAAGAAGAAATGGAATGTCATGGAATTAGAAAATGGAAGGGGCTTAGAAATAGCCTTGTTCCGTCTTTTACTTAATTTTCTGAGACAGGGTCTTGCTCTGTCCCCCGGCTGGAGTGCAATAGCACAATTATAGTTCATTATAGCCTATGCTTCCTGGGCTCAAGAGATCCTCTCACCTCAGCCTCCTGAGTGGGTGGAACTACAGGCATTTGCCATCGCACCCAGCTAACTTTAAATTTTTTGTGCAGACAGGATCTCGCTATGTTGCCCAGGTTGGTCTCGAACCCCTTGCCTCAAGTGATCCTCCTGCCCTGCCTGCCTCTCCAAAGTGTTGGGATTATAGGCAGAGCCACTATGCCCAGCCCAGTCTGTTTTATAGAGAAATTAAATATATTGGTTAATGTTACCCAAATCTGAGGAAAGAGAAAAGCCATCGTGGTAGGTATGCAGCATCTTCTTGCTTATCACTATCCAGAAAAACAAACTGGGGTCACATTGCTGTTTCTACACTACAGACTCCTTGCCAGCTATTCCTACCTTAACAAAACATCAGTAGATACTTATCAGAGATACAAGTACAATGTCAGAACCTCAAAAATATTGTGTACCTGTTGTGCAGAGATGCTCTGCACCACGTGCTTCTCCACCCAATTTATCATGTGCTCTTGTTCCTTTCGACGCATCATGTTCTGCACAGATATGTGATAGTCCAGGCGATTCTTTACTTCCTTATATACCGTATGCAGTCGTTCCCGGTAAGTAACCTCCATAGCCAGAGCAATGTTATTCTGCAGCAAAATTAAGAAATCAATATTGTTTGTACACTTGAAGGAATACTTATACTCTGAAGATTCTGCCAGTGAGAATGCCCCACTTCTTTTGTATTTTATGTGAAATTCTTTAATAGGTAATATATACCTAGAAATTATAGCAGGATATGGCAAAAACCTATTTAAAAGTGTATGCAGTAAGAAAAAGTCTCCTTCAGTCTCACCCATAGACCACTAACTTACTGTATTTCTTATATTCCCTCCCAGAAATATTTAATAGAAATAGAGGTATACACATCAAAATATAGGCATATACACACTACTTTTATTAATTCTGACACACAAACCTACCTCAATTTTAAATTACATTGGATTCCACTATACTGGTATTCCATAATTCATTTTTTGTACTACAAATAATGGTGCATACACTGTATATTTGTCTTTGTGTATATGTCATAATACTTGCTGGGTCAAATAATAGCTAACATCTGTAGGGTACCAACTATGCTCTAAACACTCTTATGTTTAGATTCAATTAAATCTTATAACCACATCATGGCATAGTTATTATAATTATATCCATTTTGCAGTGAGAAAAGTGAGGCAGAGTTAGGAAACTTGCCCAAGGTTACAGAGCTAATAAACTGTGAAGCCAAGATCAGCACACAGGCAGTAAGGCTACAAGGCCAAGCTCTTATGTATCTCTACTTGGCTAACCCACAGGCATCACAAACCAATGCATACCAAACTGAAGGCTATCGGCAACAAGGCAATCAGAGTGATCCTTCGATGACTTTCTCTCATTCACAGTCCAAGTCCAAGTTCTTATAGAAGCTTAAAGTCTTCACATATCATAGTCCCAGGCCACCCTCTATCTCCTTTCATTCTTCCCCCACCAATTCTACTTCAGCTGTATGGGCCTTCTTACTTTTCCTGGACTATGCCAAGCCAACTTCCAGGTTTACAGCATTTGCAACTGTTCTTCCTTCTGTCTGGAGCTTATTTTCTCCGAAATCCACATACCTTGCACTGTTAGTTCAGGTCTCTGCTCAAATATCATATTAGAGACATTTCTTGAATGCCCTATAAAAATAGTAACTCCTGCAATTTTGTAGACAGGGGGTCTCACTATTTTGCCCAGGCTGGTCACAAACTCCTGGGCTCAAGTGATACTCCTGCCTTGGCCTCCCAAAATACTGGAATTACAGGCATGAGCCAAATATGCCCGGCCTGCAATCTTTTTAATACGAGTTTATTTTTCTATCTAGCATTCATTACCTGTTGACATTTGTATCTGTTCTATTATTTATTTTCTGTGCTTCTCCTATTGCCTGGCTAGAAAATAAGACTCCATGAAGGCAGAAACTTTTTTGTTCTCCACTATATTTTCAGCATTCTGCCTTGGTCAGAATATCTACACAGGAAGAACTCAATAAATATCTATCAAGTAAATATATTATAAATAAATAAAAACCTAAACTACTATTATTTGACTCTTAGGAAAAAGCTGCATTTTCCAATATAGTTTTTGTTTTGAAACAAAGTTTCCCTCTCGTTGCCCAAGCTGGAATGCAATGGCACAATCTCAGCTCACTGCAAAACCCAATATGATTTTTTTAAAAAGCCAAAATATATGTGTGTATGCATTCACGTGTGTATACATAATATGCAAGAAGCAGGAATTAGTCTCTAGTTGTAACCTAAATATACACAGAATTAACATTTTCCGAGATTTTCAAATATCCATGTGCTTAAGAGTATTTAGGGATCTTGTTTAAAAGAATACAGATTCTTGGATAGCCCCTAAGAAAGGTTCTGATTCCACAAGTCTTAGAAAGGAACCAAAAACTTAACACCAAAGATAACTCTAATGCATGTGGTACTGAGACCACACTAGCCAAGATCCTAAATATATCAGATGCTTACTCTATCTTAGCATCTCATTTTTCATTTCAATATAAAACTTCGACATATCAGCACTTCACTTTTAAATATTAGCCATAAAATACAAAGCTCAAAGTAAAAACAGTAATAACAAAATACTTGAACATGTTCCTAAGGATTGTCTTGGAAGCTACATATTTTAGAATCTAATCATGTCCTGACTATGATAAAAAGCTCTACTGCTATCTGAATTTGTTATGTGTATATGTGTGTGTATATGTGTATAAGTGTGTGTATATGTGTGTTTGAGACAGTCTTGCTTTGCTGCCCAGGCTGGAATGCAGTCGTGGGATCCTAGCTCACTGCAGGCTGGACCTCCTGGGTGCAAGCGGTCCTCTTGTCTCGCCCTCCTCAAGTCCTAGGATTACAGGTGTGAGCCACTGTGTCCAACCTGCTTTGTGGATTCAGAATGTACAGTATCAGATTTCCTTACAACAAAGACATTAAGATGTTCTTGTAGTGTGGTGTGTATGAAATACACAGGATATATTTTACCTACAGTCTTTCTTAGACAATGTATGCCATTTTTATATCAGCTTTAACTTAATGACTATTTCCTTTTGTGTGGATCCAAAATTTTTTTAAATAACTTCCACTGTTTCTAATTTTATAATAATTTGAATTATTTTTCCAATTGACAGTTCTTAAATGTTTAAATAGCTGTGAATGCCAACTCCTACACAAATCTCTTTTCTAAATAAAATATGTTCAATCTATTTAACCATTTTTCATTAAAAATTCTGAAAAAAAAAAAAAAAAAAAAAAAAAAATCGCACGCAACAAATAACTTAATTTTTCCTAGAATCTTCTGAAACCTACCCTCTGCACATCAAAAAGGTAATGGCGCTTCTGAACCAGTGCCTGCTGTGCCTTCTCCGTATCAATTGCATCCTGGAAGTGGTTGATGTGAGACTGCTTTGCCTCTTCCAGTTGGGTAAGTTTTTGCTACAATTGTGATAGCAACGACAAAGATCAGTAAAAGCACATAGGGTTAAAAAAAAAAAAGGAGATTTCATGCTTCCTCAAAGTTGTATCTCTCATTTGTAAAAACACCCACAAAGAAACATATATAGAAATGCACAAATCCTTAAAAAGGATTGCCCATAACAGCTACACGATATCTTTTGAATGATTAAACTATGGAAAAGCTGAAGGGTTTAATAGATATTTTAAAAATCTCAAATTAGTAATAACATTAACATTTATTTGAAACGTTAAATACATTTCTATGTTGCTCCTCTAACACTCACATCAAAAATATCACTAGATGACCTTCATGTTTCTATTCTAAAACGGGAAATAATGTTTCTGGTTCTTACCTCATTGAGTTTATCAGCAAATGCTGCAACAGAAGGACCATATTTTTTAACTGCATAGATATATATCCCTATTGTTGCTAGGCCAGTGATGGTCTCTCCAGTAATCACATATATTTCTTTGGATAAAGCATACAAGATAAGCCCAGCTCCAAGCACATAGGGTCCTAAAAGAAGAAAGAGCTATTTTATGCATGGATATGCTATATCTAAAAGAGGGAAGATAGAAAGATACTTCTATATTTGATCAGTTGAAGGCAAAGTAATGACTTAATTAGATTCAAAGACAAAACACTAGACTGAGAAGCAAGCAGTATGGTAGAGTTGAAAGAATAAAGATATGGGCTCAGGGAAATCCGTATACTGACTTTACAACTTTAAAGAAACTGAGCAATCTAAATAATCTCTGAATTTAGTTCCTTATTTGTAAAATGGGGACAGTACCTTCTTCAATTTGATAAATTTGAGAAGTAATGTTAAGTACAATACCCAGCACAGTAACTTAAGTTATTCTACAAAGATGTCACATAATTTTCTAAAGTAATTTGTCCAGCAAATATACTATTTATTGAATGGGAACACTAGACAAGATAAAATTTACAAGAGAAACCAGCAAAAACCAACTATAAAGTGATATGTATATAAAAGGATGAATAAGTATTAGGATTCTCAACTCCTGTAGCACCTAATTACTAACAGTTCAAATATGGCTTTTTCTTTAGCCAGGCCATGAATTCTGAAAGGATATAAAGCATGATTTATATTTCTTTAGTCTTTCCTCTGTGCCTCACAGGATGTAAGGGAGGGCCAGAGCAGGCTTTTAGGAAAACATTTTACAGTATTTCTGAGAATCATCACAGGATGGCAGGATACATGATGAGAATAACAGGGTTACAATCTCAAATACATTTTACCCAGTTTCCCATATAAAATTCCAACAGTTTTTTAAAACTGTCTTTAATCTATAAATTTTAAATATGAATTTGCAAGAAACATCTATCATATGTAATATTTTTATCACCTATGGAAGTCTGAGACTAATGTTTCTAGCAATTTCAGTTAGGAAAATGCTACTTTAGGTGACTCCAGGGCTAAAAAACACAATCTTTGGTTGCCAGTGTTCCACAGTCATAGCAATACTTGGGTACAGGCCAAGAAAGGCAGTGTATTATACAGTTACTCATTTCTTTATTGTTATCCTACAACAGAATGTCTGTTCCATGACAGCAGGCACTTAACACTGTTCAACACTGTATGCCTGCAACAGTGCCTGGCATAAAGCAGCCATCAAAAAATTGGATCTACTAATGAATAGTGACAATGCTGTAAAATTAAGTTAAAATCCCAAATAAATTTATACCAAAGACAAGTTGGTGCAATCAAATCAATTGTTACAATTTCCTTTTAAAACAGCTGACTTGTGGCTGCAGGCAGGTGGCTCAAGCCTGTAATCCCAGCACTTTGGGAGGCTAAGGTGGGTAGATCCCATGAGCCCAGGAGTTGGGAGACCAGCCTGGGCAACATGGTGAAACCCTGTCTCTACAAAAAATAGAAAAATGAGCTGGGTGCATACCTATAGTCCCAGCTACTTGGGAGACTGAGGTGGGAGGATGACCTGAGCCTGGGGAGATGGAGGCTGCAGTGAGCTATGATTGTGCCATTGCATTCCGTCCTGGGTGATGGAGTAATACCCTGTCTCAAAAAACAAAGAAACAAACAAACAAACAAACAAAAAAACCCACTTGACCCACTTACATCAAGGCTTCTCAACTCAGCACTACTGATGTTTGCACTGGATACTTCTTTATTTTAGTGGTGCCATCAAAATATATCATCAAAGACTCAGCAAAAATGCTCACCTGTTACACCAGTTTTAGGATAAAGATACTGAAAGAATTCCTCAGGGATCAGTCCATGACGAACTTTTCCTCCATATTCAGGAAGAGGTGGTACAGGTGCAAGGTGTGGCTGCTCTGTGTGAAAGGTCCTTGTTGCTTGTAATACCCTACAGGTAGCAATTGTACAAATGTGAAGCCGGTTTAAGGAGAATACAATGTATGAATAATTAGCAGAAACAATGAATAGGGTTGAGGATTGAGGCAGTTTTCTAACTGGAAAGAGAATGGACTGGGAACAGGAAGGTTAGGGTCCAGTAATCAGCTGTGACAGGAGCAAAGACTTAATCACAGATACTTAACCTTTTACCCAATACTAGAACCCTTTCTATAAGCCTTGCAGATCATCTGTCTAGCACTTTGTATGTCTATTATTAGCAATGAAATATATAAGAATGTGGATGTGGCAGCCAGCTAGACTCCCTGGGTTCAAATCCTAGACCTGCCCCTTGACTTTGAGTAAAGAACTTAAGCTTTTGTAATCTCAGATTTCTCTCGGTAAAATGAAAATAAATACATGTAAAGTGCTTAGAATGACGTCTAGCACATGGCAAAGTTTTATGTAAGTGGTTAGCTGTTATATGCCTGACATGTTGTAAGCTCCTTGACCTTTTTGAATACTCTTTTGATGGGGGTGCTAATCACTATATGTAGCAGACTTTTTCAGTACTGGGTAGCTCTAATTATGTTCATCTTTAAATTGAGATACTACATACATTCTTGGAACTTCAATCCATTCTTAGTTCTAATTTTGCTTTTCTATGTCAGATAAACACACATGTACCTGGGTCAAACATCTGTTCCCTCACAATCCTGACTGCCTACAAGGAGTTCTGTTTTTTGTTGTTTTTTTGTTTTTTTTTTTTTTTTTTTTTTTTAAATCAGGTAAACAGAACTGAATATAATACTCTTAGCTGGGTAACTCTTCACTCTACAAATACTTGTTGAGACCTTTTATTGCCAGTACTGAGCTTGAACAACTGCACTATTATCAACAGTGGATATGGAAACTATTCTTGTATTAAAGCAGCTTAAGACTACATTCTTAACAGTTACAGTATGCCGATGTCTCCTTAAGCTTCCGATGACATAAAATCTAGTCTCTTTATATCTGTTGTCAAGTTTGGTCTCCTTCAAGTTTTCAGTATATTTTTGTCCCACTTCCTACCCTCTATTCCTCCACTCTCTCAACTTCTATCTCCTTGTAATGTAAGAGTTTATTATTTCATTTATTTTGGTACAGTGCTTATCTTCTGAATATTATTTCTGCCTCCAAATATATTAGCTGCCATGCCAGGTTTTGAAATCTGAGAATCATGCTTGAGATTTCTTCACTTAAACATCAAGGCTTCTCAACTCAGCACTACTGATGTTTGCACTGGATACTTCTTTATTATAAAAGGCTGTTCTGTGCACTGTAGAATGTCTGGCAGTATCTTTGTGGCCTTTGTAAAATAGATACCATTAGCACCCTCCCTCCCCTACCCACCCAATGGTATCACTGAAAAGTATCTCCAGACATAGCCAAATGTCCCCTGCGGGCAAACCACCCCAGGGGACAAACCACCCCAAGTGACTGATTTAAATCACAGCACTAGAGAATATGCTAAGGCTGACAAGCCTTCTCCTCAGCTAGCTACCTTAGTCCAAACCCTTATAATCTCTAGCTTAGTTTAACAATCCAAAACATGGTGTCTTTGCTTTTTTTTTTTTTTTGAGAAAGAATCTTGCTCTGTCACCCAGGCTAGAACACAGTGGGGCAATCTCAGCTCACTGCAACCTCCGCTTCCAGGCTCAAGCAATTCTTGTGCCTCAGTCTCCCGAGTAGCTGAGATTACAGGTGTGTGCCACCATGCCCAGCTAATTTTTCTATTTTTAGGATAGACAGGGTTTTGCCATGTTGGCCAGGCTGGTCTCAAACTCCTGGCCTCAAGTCATCTGCCTATCTTGGCCTCCGAAAGTACTGAAATTACAGGTGTTAGCAACTGTACCTGACTGCTGCTTCTTATTAAATTCCCCAACTTAAAACCTAGCCACTCACATTACTGCCAATGTTTCTAAAATGAAAATTTGACTTGAAAACTCAACAGGCGGTCTCTTGCCTACAGAAAACTACTTAGTCTAACAGTACTTGTCAATTTTTTTTTTTTTTTTTTTTTGAAACAAGGTCTCACTCTGTCACCCAGGCTGGAGTGCAGTGGTGCCATCACTGCTCACTCACAGCCTTCAACTCCTGGGCTCAAGCAATATTCCCACCTCAGCCTTCCCAATTGCTGGGACTACAGGCATATGGCATGATGCCCAGATAATTTAAAAAATTTTTTTGTCTCACCATGCTGCCCAGGCTAGTCTTGAACTCTTGGGCTCGTGATCCTCCTGCCTTAGACTTGGGATTATAGGAATGAACCACCATTGTGACTGATCCTGTCAAATTTTATAACCTCATCTTCCTTCATTCTCTTATTCCCCTGGAATTACTTAACAGCTCTCAAAAACAAATGAAGAAACATCATAAAAAAATTGCCCTATGCTGCTCCTTCTAACCTTTTATTCCCTTCATACTATGACTTAATAGCAATGACTACCAAGACCAATCAGCCTCCAGATTTGTAAAGCCCTCCCCCATTTTGGGCTAACATTCATTCTTTTAGTCAATAAAACATTTACTGACTTTCTAGCAATACTAGGCACCGGGAACAAAGTTCCAGCCTTCAACTTTCTAGTGGGGGTATGGGAAGGGTGAGTGTGTATCTCCATACAAAATTTCAGGTAGCTGTAAGTGCTATGAAGAGAAACTGAGCAAGGTAAGGGAATAGGGAGCAACAGAATGGGGAAGAGTATTTGGTAGGGAGTCAGATGGCATTTGACCCAATGATCTGGGGAAAAGAGAGAAGAGCAAGTAGAAAGATCCTAAGGCAAGAATACGTTTGGTAGTTTTCAGAGGAACACCAAGGCCAGTATGGTTGGAGAATGACTTAAAAAGAGAATAGAAGGAGATGGTGTCAAGACACAGAATGGGATCAATTCATGTTAGAACTTCTGGGTTATGCTAAGTTTGGATTTTATTTCAAGTGGGATGGGGAGCTCTGGAAGGCTTTGGTGGGAGACTGACATAATCCTTCTGGCTATTATGAGAATGGGTTGTAATGGGACAAGAATAGAGATGCAAGGCTAATTAAGAGACTACTAAAATACCTAGGTGAAAGTTTATGGTGCTTCATACTTTAGTGGTAGTGGAAGTAGCAGCCAGAGTACAATTTTCTAGAGGAAGAGCCTTGCTGAAGTATTGGACATGGAGTGTGAAAGAAAACCAAGGATATTTCTTGCATCTTGTAAATTCAGTTATTTTATTTACTACCCGGTATTACAATTATTTGTTTACAAGTCTGTATGGGGTCCTTTTTCTTATAAATTGGAAGCAGTCATTTATAGCCTTACTTTATCGCATACATGAGACTTAATTACAAGTAAGACCACATTTTCAAGTCCATTTTTTTCAGTGTAATAGTTAACATATTTTGCATGTTTTAGAACTAAGTTTGGAAGTAAAAAGAGAAATCTCTAGGAAAACCGACATGTCTTATGAAACATTAACAGTAACAGCTGATGTAATAAGCACACACCATGTATCAAGAAACTGTTTTTGAGTTTCACAGAAATTGTCTCTTAATTCTCATAAGCCACAATGTACTACTATCTCCATTTTGCAGATGAGGAAATTGATGTCACACAGGTAGTAACTGGAGTAGCCAGGTGTACCCTGTTCTGGCTTTGGAGCCCTCACTCTAAACGAACACTCTACCATTCCTAGACTGTGAGCTCCATGAGAGCAGGTAATTAGCCATACTTATTCTTGTATCCTTGGTTATGTGTTTGGCAACATAAGTATTTACTGAATCAATGAATGATTTCTCTGATTGTTATCATATGGCACTAAAAAGTAGGTATCTGGGAAATCGACTGTAAACAACACGCTTTACTCTTTTGTTGAACAAAATTTGTTCTTGGGTATGTAATCTATTCCGATTTCGGCTCTAGGAACTACATGTCATAAGGTCCCAAGGGAAGGTCACAAAAGAGTGGGGACGGTATAGAAAACACCAAAACCAATTTCTAGTTTTGTTGGAATACGTTACTTATCCTGTTGAAGTCTATTAGGTGATTTGAGACCGTTCCTGGCAGTTACAGGAACAAGTGTCTGAAAGGGGGTTTAAGTGTCCCAAAATTATCGGAAAGAAATTTCTGGCCTAAAGCTAACGGGGTAAGGGCAGGAATCGAGAAATAAAAGATGATTAAAAACAAAGACGAAAGGGAGCATTAACCTTAAACTTACCCTGGACCTAGGAAGGCTGCATTCTTCAGAGAGGGGGCTGCAGATAAACAAGGCGAAGGTCAGCAAAGTCGAATGAAATCTGGTTTACCCCTTCCTCATCCCTGCCAGGCTAGATCACTAAGGCCATGTACCCCTTTTTCCTGTCCCTCAAGACCCCACGCTCCCTTCCGAGCGGCGAGGATCACTCGCCGCCCAAGCCCCTGTCGCTGCGCCCTTCTCCCTTCCCTGTGACCCCTAGATTCACTTCTTTCCGGTCACTCTGATAGCCCAGACCAGGGTCTATACCCCTCACCCGCTGTGGCGGCAGCAGAAAGTACTACCCGGGACAGCATGGTCAGCGAAGATCCAGACAGCGATCTTTGCGTTCCTGTGACCCCTGATAGGAGAATCTGTCAGGGCAGGAGCAAGATGGCCGCTCACAAATCTCGCGAGATAAAAAATTTGTACTCTTCATTCAACTTTCATCGGGAGTTTTTTTTTTTTTTTTTTAATTCTCGCGAGAAGACGCAGGAAACGCTGAGAACCTATCGCAGAAGAGCAACAGCCGGAAAGCAGGATGGAGCCATTGAAGCAATTCTCGCGAGAAGTAGAGTTACCACAGCCTAGAGAAGGGGGCGGAGGCTCGGAAGCACACCACGTTGGGTTTGCTGCCAGAGCTGAGTCTCCGGCCGGTGTCCAGTTTGATTTTGAGTCTCGGTTGGAGTTGGAACCGTGGAGATGCGAAAGGAAACCCCACCTCCCCTAGTGCCCCCGGCGGCCCGGGAGTGGAACCTTCCCCCTAATGCGCCCGCCTGCATGGAACGGCAGTTGGAGGCTGCGCGGTACCGGTCCGGTGAGCCGAGATCCCGGGCCTGGGAGCTCCCTCACCCCGGCCCAGGGCGCCCCTCCCCGGGGACTGACCCTCCTAGCCCTTCCTCGCCCTGCATGTTATCCCGACCTCGAGCTGTCCCCAGCCCTGCCCCGCGTTGCTGAGCTCAGATCCAGACCCGGCCAGCACGCTGTTCTGTGCGGTCTCCATGGAGACGAGCCCTTCCACCCTTCACGCGCTGACAGCTTTTACCCCCCTGTAGATGGGGCGCTTCTCCTCGGGGCCTCCAGCCTGAGTGGCCGCTGCTGGGCCGGCTCCCTCTGGCTTTTTAAGGACCCTTGTGCTGCCCCCAACGAAGGCTTCTGCTCCGCCGGAGTCCAAACGGAGGCTGGAGTGGCTGACCTCACTTGGGTTGGGGAGAGAGGTATTCTAGTGGCCTCCGATTCAGGTGAGTCACTTCCCCCTCATCCACGCCCCCACCCCCGCCTCCGGGTGGAGTGATGGAAGCTCGGGGTATGGGTAGGGCTGAGCTCAGTGTCTGATGTCCTATACTCAGTACTTGGAGGAGCATGAGAGTATTGGCCCCAAATGCAAACTCTTGTGTGGGTGGGAAATATCTTTTCTAAAATTCTAAATGGTCTGGTGAGATTTCCTAGAAAAATCCATAGCAAAAGTAAGCAATGGATTGGAACCATTTTTCTTCTGTGTAACCTGCCCCTTAACCCCCGCAGCCCAGACCAAGCATAATGGTGGTTTTAAGATGAGACCGAAGTCAATCTGCGCCACATGTCTTTTCCCATTTCTTCCCGCTTTCTTGTCTTCATTCTGCTTTTTTTGTGCTGATTGTTAGGCTCAGCGATGCACGCTTTGGCATTAAAAAAAAAAAAAAAATCAGAATTTGGAAGTTGGCCGGCATTGGATGGAAGTTAAAAAGTTCCACTTTCTAATAGATTTAACCTCTCTGACAATTGAGCTTTACTGCTACATAATCAAGACAACTTTTGGTGGATTTTTTATACTTTGCCAGTCACTGTGCAAGGCATTCAGTTATTCAACATATTTTTAAAGACTCTGCAAGACCTTTATTCAACTAGTCAGCGAATACTTATTACTATAGAAGTAATTGGGAAGTGTTAACATCACTAGATAGTGCGCTGCTTAGACATTTGTGGAAGCTTAATCCTTGTCCCCTTGGAGCTGATTTTCCAGTGTTCTCTCACTAAAAGCAGGTGATGAATTTTACAGGTGGTTTTTGTCTTTTTCTAGAAGCATTTTCCACCTACTTGACTGGGCTGTCATTGGGAAAACAGTAACGCAGAATAAAGTCAAAGGCTCGGAAATTAGCTAAACTCTCCAATGATGTGAACTTTGCTTTATAGGAATAACTTACTTTGCTAATTTAGTGACAACGTCTCTGAATCCTAGAAGTGAACTACTGCCTTAGTATAATCCAAGCTCATGTTTTCCTTACCCTACTCCACCAGGTGCTGTTGAACTGTGGGAGCTAGATGAGAATGAGACGCTTATTGTCAGCAAGTTCTGCAAGTATGAGCATGATGACATTGTGTCTACAGTCAGTGTCCTGAGCTCTGGCACACAAGCTGTCAGTGGTAGCAAAGACTTCTGGTGGGTCCCTGTTCTCACTGCTCCTGTCTCTGAGCCTCCTTTGGGTGCCTTTCTTATCCTATGAACCTCATTAGGTAACGTTTTGGGCTTATTCTAAGAACCCAGTGCCTAATTTTAGCCTTTCTATAAGGTTTCCTTAGGGATTTTGCAGTCCATTGTAAGTAGACCATATTAGCAGTCCAGGAGACAAAAGACTTGGGGAATGATGATTACAGGAAGTTCTTGTTTGTACATGTTTTTATGTTGATAAGTGTAGGTCAAGATTAAATGTCTGTTTCCTTTTGCTTCTTAGCATCAAGGTTTGGGACCTTGCTCAGCAGATGGTACTGAATTCATACCGAGGTGAGTATTATTTCACTTTTAGCCCTGGTCTTAGCCGTTGTGTTTTTCTTCTCCCCTTTGGACTTTTTGAACTTTGCTTTGATGTTAGGAGCAGCAATTCCACCTTATGTCTGATAGTTTTCTTATAAAACATATAGTCAGGCTCCAATATCCACCCCTTGTTCTTTTCTCATTTTCCCTGTTTCTCTTCTTCTTCTTTTTTTTTTTTTTTTTTTTGACTAGTCAAGTGCAGTAGTGAAAAGACGGGAAAGAGTAGAACAAGGAGTTTAATCTGTAACTGACTGAACAATCAGTTGAGATAACTTGCTCCCTTCAGACCGGCCAGTTTCCCTGTTTCTATTGATGGTCTCACCACCTTGGCAACACAGGGCTCAGACTCTTGGTCCTCTTCCACCCCTTCTGTTCCCCACCATCAGTTGGCCACTAAGTTCTTTTTAGTCTTTTCCACTGATCAGTCACTTTTCTGTCCATTTCTATGCCCCCATTCACTTTCAGACTTTATCTTACACAGGCGGTGGCACTTATCTCTCCACTAGCAGTCTAGCTCTTTTGGTCTTTCATTGGTTTCTTGTGGCCTGTGGATTAAATTCCCATTTTCTTGTCATGGCATTGAAGCCCTTCCGTTTCATCTCTTCAAGCTTACTAGATCCTTGATGTTCTTGAGGGATAAACCTTGAGACTTTCAAATCTTGAACTTTTGAGTGTTTACCTTCATAAAATGTCTTTTGGTGAGAACCATCACTTTTTTAATGCCCCTCTTTCTGCTCACTTTGATTAACAGCACTAGTAGTTGACTTTCTCTTGGGAGCCATCTTTGTGAAGATGATGTCTAGAGCCTTAATATGTGCATGGCTACAAGATTTAGGTGCTGGGTGATCACTGTGATTCACTCAATGGCTAAGTGCCTTTCCCTGCCATTTCTAACTTCAAAGTGCATGATTAAGTTATAGGCCAGAGAGGCTGCGCGCGGTGACTCAAGCCTGTAATCCCAGCACTTTGGGAGGCCGAGGTGGGTGGATCACGAGGTCAAGAGATCGAGACCATCCTGGTCAACATGGTGAAACCCTGTCTCTACTAAAAATACAAAAAAAAATTAGCTGGGCATGGTGGCATGTGCCTGTAATCCCAGCTACTCAGGAGACTGAGGCAGGAGAATTGCCTGAACCCAGGAGGCAGAGGTTGTAGTGAGCCGAGATCGCGCCATTGCACTCCAGCCTGGGTAGCAAGAGCAAAACTTCATCTCAAAAAAAAAAAAAAAAAAAAAATGTTATAGGCCAGAGAAATCACAGACTCATATCTAAGGTCCAGTGTCCTGGACCCTCAGGGTCACTTTCAAATAGTTTTACAATAATATTGAATGCCCGGCTGTAGTGTAGTGGCTTACCACTGTAATCCCAGCACTTTGGGAGGCTTAGGCAGGTGGATCACATGAGGCCAGGAGTTAGAGACTAGTCTGGTCAACATGCCAAAATCCCCTATCTACTAAAAAGTACAAAAATTAGCCAGGTGTAATGGTGCACATCTGTAATCCCAGCTACTTGGGAGACTAAGGCCTGAGAATTGCTTGAACCCTAGAGGCAGAGGTTGCAGTGAGCCAAGATCGCATCATTGCACCCCTGCCTGAGCAGCAGAGTGAGACTATCTCAGGAAAAAAAAAAGTCAATACCCTTTGTCTGTTATGTTTGCTTTTCATTTCTTAGACATATGATGTGCCTTCCTGGTTAATATTAACTCTTCTTCAGCACTTCTGCCATTATCCCTTATGTTAGTTCTTTGTGTTTGTGTCGTATTCCCCTTGCTGAATTCCAAATCCCTTCTTATTTTTTAATTTTTTGTAGAGACAAGAGTCTTGCTATGTTGCCCAGGCTGCTATCAAATTCCTAGGCTCAAATGATCCTCCCACCTTGGCCTCCCAAAGTGCTGAGAGATTGCAGGCATGAACCACTGCTACCTGCCCCCAAACCTCTGAGGGTAGAGGAGCCATGTATTCTTCATCTTTTGTACGCCACCATGGTGCTTGTCCCAGAGCTTTGCTTTTCTCAAGTGAGCAATAAATTCCTTTTCTTAATTCTTATTCCGTTGGCTTTCTATGAATTCTAGGGCTAGGAAAGAACTGTGGAAGCTGGTTTAATTCCATCCTTCTGCCTCAGGAAGGGCCACATTCAGACTCCCTGGGAAAGTCTGGTAAAATGACTAGGAAAGTTTCCACAGTTTCTAATTAACATGTAGCAGTGACTTAAAGTTTTTTACATGTAGACCTCCCAAAACAATTTTGAAAATTGATGCCCCCTCGTACATTTTTAAATTGATACCTAAAAAATTGTAAGTAGTTGCAGAGAAGGTAATTTCTGGCATATAATTTATTACATACTTATTTCAAGCATACATTTGTCAAAATTGTAGATTCGCAGGTTAACCCTAGTTAGTTTGTACGAATGTCTGCCAAATAGCCTAACTGGCAAGCGCCAGTGTGCATCGTAAAGCCAGTGAAACAAGTTAGATTAAGTCTTTTGTCAGAAAAAGTCTGACTGTTAGTAAATTCAGATAAAGTTGTTGAATATGTCCTTATCACAGCAGTCTATCATAGTTTTTAATTCTTGTTATTAGACAGAAACAGAGTTAAGTCACAGAACCATACTTTTGTTTGTGGTATGACTGAAATAAGATCAGCCCCTTCACTGAATTTTACTCAGATGCTCTT